CTTGTAAAAAAAATACTTAAAACACTTCATTATTGTGAACTGGGATTTATAGATCTTTCATTCACATTGAGTTACCACTAATCTTTAACATCTAATATAAAAAAAAATAAATAATCATATATTTAAAAAAAGAAAAGAAAAACTGTTGTTGTTTTTAATGAAACAACAAAAAATACAATATGAAATAATAATGAATCCCTTTGAACAGCTTTGTTCATCCTGTCACTAAAAGTAAGTAATCTAAAGTGCCTTATGCATATAGAAAATCAGTATACATTTAAAGTAGTCTAAGCCACACAATTCCACTCTTATCTACCCTTCATCAGAAAAATCAAGCAAATCAACCTTCCTGCAAAGTTCAGTCTATACAGTGATATAATTATAATCTGCTCATATACCTGTTCAGCCTCTAGCTCCCTCTGCTGGATCCTCTGAGCCATATGATTTGCTGCTTCTACTGTGAACAAAAAGACAAAAGTCAATTTTTTCCCAGTATTTTCTGTTTTTTTTTGGCAGTATTTCCATCGTACACCCGCACACATTTTGATTTAAATACACTTAACATTCTCAAGCAATTGCGTGGAACATGTGCAAATGTGCTAATTAGCATGGACCGCTGTATAATTTCAGCATCATTCCACAATTAATTAGCAAAACTACAGAGGTGGCAAAAATGATAAAAACACTTGCCATATTTAAGAGTTGTTTTTAATTGCACATTAAAATATTCATAAAATGAATTATTAATGAAGTATTAACTGTAATCTTTTTAAAAGCACAATCTTAACATATTATCTGTATATCCATTAAATAGTTCCATCTTTTTTTAAATACTAAAACGCAGTTTTTAAGTACCTCTTAATTTTCTTTCACTTCATCACGCCATTTATTCTAAATAATGTGACTTACGTCTTGTGAGAGCGTCACACAGTTTCTCGTGCATACTCTCTGTGCAGCGTGGCAAATCATGCTCATTGGTGTCTGACGTCATCTTATTCAGATTTTCAAGCAAGCGGCATTCTCTGAAAGCACGTTTCTCCTGGGGAATATTAACAGAGAAAATTAATTAGTGCAGTAAATTTGGTCCTTGTCAGAAGGTCACAGGTCAAAAAATCTTTGACTCAAAGGATGATGTGAAAATAGTGTCTGTACATCATTACGGTATGTCAATGAACATATTTATACGACAAAGCTGTATAGGATCATTTCAAATATTTTTAATTGCTTTATTTCAATTGTACATGTCTTAGGCAAAAAAGTCTTAACAAATTATTTCTTAAACACTAAATCAGTATTTCAGAAATATTTATGAGGGATTTTGTGTTATACTGAGTACTGAAGTAATGCAATCGCAGGAATAAATCATATTTATCATATTTAAATTAAAAGCTTTTTTTATACAATGTTATAACATTGACAGTATTCCTCTTTTACTGCGTTTCTATCAAATAATGAAAGTCATTTGGTAAGCATGAGATAATTAATTTAAATTTTTTTTTATAAGTACTGTGCATGTTTTAATAATTTATTTCAAAAGCAAGCCTCAGAAAAAATATAGTTTATGTATTACCTCAAACTCTCTAATGAAGTATCTGATTTCTCCCTGCAGGACCGGCCTGTGATCAATCAGTCTGGACTGAATATCACCAACATCTGTGAAGAAACAAATACATTAAAAATAAATAAATAAATAAATAAACAAGTAAATGGACAGTTCAACAACAAATGAAAATGTACTCCCTCTCAAGTGATTCCAAAGATTTGTGAGTTTCTTTATTCTATTGAACACACACACACATTTTAAGGTAAACCTGTAACTACTGATATCCATGGAAGAAGAAGAAGAAGAAAAAAACTCAATGGTTACAGGTTTTCAACATTTTTCTATATAACTTATATTTTGTTCAACAGAAGAAAGAAACTTAAACAGGTTTGGAACAATTAAAGGGAAATTATGACAGTATTGTCATTTGGTTTCATTGAGTGAACTATCCCTTTAACACCGTATGTTTTACAGTCAGTGAATACTAGGAATGATATATATATATATATATATATATATATATATATATATATATATATATATATATATATATATATATATATATATATATATATATATATACACAGAGAGAGAGAGAGAGAGAGATATATATATATATATATAAAAAAAAATATATATATTTATTTTTTTTTTTTTTTTTATATTTATATATTTTTTTTTTTTTATTTATAAAAATAAATA